TTGGACGAAGCCATGAACAATCTAGCGATCGCTGACCGACCTTTGAAGATCACAGAAGCTTTGGAGAAGATGGAACAGAAGTCTGTTGAAAGTGAGTAATTTAAATCATACAATCGAAAAAAATGGTGCCATACTGGTCTTTGAAATAACAATTAATGATATTTTCTATTTAAAAGTTTGTTTTGCTTATTTTAGAAGTTACTACACCCAGAGAAAGAAGACACTCGCATGGCAGTTTCTACGAAAACGTGTCGTCTAGTGAAACTGCTACAAAACCTTCGAATTTAAAACCAACGCAAAGTAGTTCTGTCCAGTCTAAAACTCTTCCAAAAGAAAAGCCGGAAAAACACAATCCAATCATAGCTAATGCAGCCGAAAGTACCATTGTAAAAGAGAAACGTAAGTATAGTGATTTAATTGTTATTTTGAGTCATACAGGTTGTCTCAAAAAACTCGTGCCATCTCTCGTAGAGAGATTTCTCACATAAAAATAAGATTTATTTTTCGTATCAACATAGGTCCGATTCTGCTTTGTTTCTTAGCTACAGGGTGTTAAAGTTTTAATATTTTTTCGATTTATTATAATTTTCTTCCAAGTACTTTTAGCGTTTCGAATGAAATTTTAAGAGTAAAAGTTACTATAAATGCGACATATTCTAAAGCTAAAAACGTGTCGACATATTCAACAGGGACGTGAATATGGGCTATCACTGAAATATTTTTCTAAAAAAAGCATGTACGCCACTGACTTTTTTTTTTGTTAACGAAATAGTTTTAGCAGTTTAATGCCGATTAAAAGTTGTCTCTTGATATTTTGTCAATATCGGCCTCCTTGATGGGATAAACGCAATTTTATTAATTTTCCTGGATTCAAATCTAATAGCAACCTTTAAAAAGTTATAATATCATTAATTTGCGAGAGTTTTAAATAAGTACTCATTGATTCTTCATCAAAAAATATGAAAAAAAGTTCCTGTAAACATGGGTATGGAAATGCATAGTTTTAGAGTTACAGGATGTTAAAATTTTTAAAATTAGGTTTTTTGTAATTATCTTAAGTACCATTATTTTTTTATTTAAAATTGCTTTATGTTGGACTAATAGGAATAATACCTAATAGTAATAATATTTAATAATAAATTAGGTAAAATATATAATTTCTTAATTGTATTTGTATTTTAATTTTATTAATTGTGATTAATAAAATTGCGTTTATCTCATCAAGAGGATCGAATTCGACAAAATATCGAGAGATAACTTTTAATTGACATTAAACGGGCTTCACAATTCTGATATTAAAATAAAAAAAAGTCAGTGGCGCACATGTTTTTTTAATATTCCCATATGCACGTCCCTGGTGAACCTGTCGACACTTTTTTAGCATTAAAATATGTAGCACTGATGGTAACGTTTACCTGCCAAATTTCATTTGAATCTCTAAAAGCACTTGGAAAAAAATGATAATAAATCGAAAAAAATGAAGACTTCAACCTCTTGTAGCTTTCTTTACTTTTCTTAAAATCTATTATGAAATAAACAATAAATAATAAAAAATAATCTTAGAAACGTGTAACTAACTTGCATAAATTCAAGTTTTTCAATAAACGGTTTAAGCCATGCCAAACAAATATGAGAAAAGTGTTTCAGTGACATAGAGCTCTCATTTTTAATACACTAATATAAAATATAGTCAGTCCAATGGGAGACTCCCTGACAGTGAGAGTTATCTGTCATTCACAGACAACTCTCTTTAGAGAGACTATAGGCGTGGTGCATTCTTCGCCGGTGCTGCCACCACCGGTTTAAATCGCGATTAAACGAAAAAATTAGTATATAATTATTCTAAAAGTGTAAGAAGGTATAATTTGTGGAAATTCTAAACAAAAAAATAAAAAGGCAAATATTTTGATATCTTCAGAAGGTCTAACTTGCATTATAATTTATTATTCCAGTTAAAAAAAATTTTTAGATGAGTTCAACTACGGTAACGTGCATAATTTTATCACCGGTTTTGCTAGTGGGGCATAATTGGAGCTATTTAGGCTATAACGACATTTTTTAAAGGTAGATAATTATAATTTTAGAAGATGTACATAAAACATTTAATCACTAGTTGATTGAAAAAGTATACCATTAATATTGCAAATTATATTTCATCCTCTTATAGTATATGTCTATTTAATTTTTTGATTATGTAACGAGCACTTTGTTTACAAAAGCTGTGTACACACTTAGCGAACGCGTACGGCCGCATGGCTTAGAATGAATGAATTCGGGAAATGTGTACGTAGCAACGAACGCATACGTTCGCGTGCGGTTGCGTTCACGGACTTAGCGGTACTTCAAAGGGAATACTACCGCACGCAAACAGATGTATGATGCGTTTACTAAGTGTGTACGTAACAGCGAACA